TTTATGTCAATCTTCTTCAAGGACTGCTCCCACTACATCATCTGAATGGAACCTGCAAGTTTACTCTGGCATTAACACATACTCTTCCAGAGAAAGAGTTTGTGCATGCAAAGCATCAAACATCAGTGCAATTACAATCCTGTTTCCCATTGGCCAGCAGAGCAGAATGATGTCTCCCCAGCTGCAGCTCTCGGAGCCTAACAACGGGCTTTGCTCCCATTCAAATCTCATTCTTTGTGAACTCCCGAGGAAACAAAGAATTGATTTGCAAGCTGTTGTTTTACCACAGAAAGCCATGTGTCCTGACGTTTCAACAACATGTTACATACACTGTTTTCGGCAGTCAGCATGCAGGGGTAGAGGCACATCATTAGCACATCATTAAGCTGATGGAGACTGTAAAATGAATTTTAGGTTTTTCTTTTTTTTGTTATTTTTGTCTCCTCCCCTTGCCTCACAGGGGATAAACTCCTACTAGGATTTGTATAGCAGGTCCTGGTTGTAAATGGTACACTGCAAATGTGTGGAGGAGACCGCGGATGGCTTTAGTCACCACTTGTATGTTTTATGTTGAAATTGCTGTTAAATAACTGAGAACGATCAAAATGGACAATTCATTCTCAAGACAACACAAGCCCAATTTAGCAGACTGAATGAAAGTTGGATTGCAACGCACTTGAGAGCCTGTTATTGAAATTGTTTGTTATTTATATCATGATCCTTTAACATGTTCAATTTTCATACATAAATATTGTATAGGTGTGCAATTCTTTTTTTTCTTTACCGTATTTAATGGCTCCATTTTCTGCTCTCCAAAACAGACACATCATAAAACATTATCAATAATGACAGATATTTTAGGAGAACCTGTATGTTAATTTTTTGCATTGGATTTTATATATGATATAGAACAAAAATCGATAATATAATGTGCAATTTGTCAGTTTGATAAAACCTTTAGTGAATTGACAACATAATTTTCAATTACAAAAATAGGAGATAATAATAGGCTTAATTCACAAAGCTAATGCGCCAGGAAAAGGGTGCTTTTTTTCAGAAAGTTAGCTTTCTTTTAATTTAAAAAAAATTAGTCACATGGCTTAAAAAACATCCTTACCCTTCTGTAAACTTAGTGAATTGAACTTATCATGTTGTAAGTAAAATTTTACATATGTAATGCTTTAGTGATTTGACTCTTCACTGTTTAAACATGGAAGAGTTGTTTTATGTTTAAATCAGCATTCAGCTTCAAGAATAAAAATAAAAGGTCTGGGAACAAAAGTTGAAAATATGAGGTGCAACTGTTAAGGGCATATTTTATGATTAATGTCTTTTCCCTAGTAAAATTTGCCATGGTGTTTTGTATGAAGCACGGTAGAATCAGTGGTAGAGAAGTTTAAGAGCAGACAAGTGCGTGTGGTTTTTTTTCTTTCTGTTTGGGGGTTTTGGTGCTCCACCCCTCCTCAATGAGTGAAGAGAATCTGCACAATAATGAAGCATGTAAGAAGGGATGACATCACCAGTCAGTGGTCCCAGCTCCCAAACACAGCGTTCACCTTTTATTGTCTTGATGACATGGTTGGAATGTGATGGTAGAACCCCCAGAGAACACGAGCCAGAAAAAGGCTTATTGAGGTTTCCGAGGAGAGTTGCTATGTCTTTTAAACTATCTGCTGGCTGATTGTGAAGGTAAGGAAAGTCTTATATTGTTGTAGTATCAACCACGCTGCTGCTGGACTGGAAGGAGCTCATTTGTCCCTAAAATCCTTGTGAATTAACTTTGCTTTACAGAGTGATCAGTGCAAGATGTTCTGTGGGTTAAGAGTAGAATACTTGCAGCAGCAGCAGCCGTGGAGTCATTCCATTTGTGTTATTGCTTTTCCCTTTCAGACAATGTATTACATGGCATTGCAAAACAAGTGAGGCTTGAACTGATGGGAGCATGCTGTGACAAGAATTTAAATTTTCTTGTAAATTATTTATTTTTTATTGTTTATATTGTTAGAGCCACACTGAATTGTGAACAAAAGCACCATAGAACTTATTCAAAAAGAGAAATCAAAAGACAATGATGACACAAAGCAGCCAGACTTCACCGTTCATTAGTTTAGTGTGATCAGATTGGTGAATAAGGATTTCTCATTCATCGCTATGGGATACCTAACTTGCACTTCAATGTATAGGTAATTGTGTTTTTTGTTATCAATCATTATAGTGTTAGTACTGGATATATCAGTAACTCAGCGGCCTCATTAGGGATAATGATAGCTTAAGAGCCTTTTTTGGTTGTGTTTTAGGATGCAATTTAAGGCATTAAAACAAGTCATCTAGTGTTTGGTGTAGGAATTTTAAAATAAACTTCTAACCAGCAGAATATGATGCTCCAATGCAGAAATGTGTATCCCTGCCATGAGTAGTAGCTTTTTGTATTGCAGTACACAAGGCTTGTGTCAATGTCAAGGCCAATGTATTTAAGACAAATATCAATGGTTTTGGGTTTGAGCCCTGTTGATCTTGTTGCTGCTTTGGACTGTAAGGACTTAACTCTTTCCTCTAAACTCCAATGAGACCAACATTTCTATGAGATGTTATCATACCTGCTGTATTTTGTCTTTGTTTCAATAATTATGCTTTTGTTTTATAAATGACTGTCCTGTACTTGGTGAACAACTGATGTGGAGAGTGTGAGAATGGACACTGGATGACTAAGACAGTGTACACCTTGTGAAGCAAAGGCATGCAGGGGAAGTTAATGTCAGGCTAAGGATTGGATAGGTAGCTCCAGGATCAAATGTGGAAGATGAGCCAAGGTCAAGGCATGCAGCTTAGAACCATAGTCCTTTATCACAAACTGGTTCATGAATCAAAAAGAGTAACAGATTCAGAGAACAAACCAAGGTCACACTAAAGCGTCATTGGGTCAGTAAGTCTGGCCAAAAACAGAATAGCAGGAACACAGGTACTTCAGGCTAAATGAAATTATCCAGCAAGTTGTAAATGAAAGAAATGGATGACCACAAGCACAGCCTGCTCTCATTTCTTTATTGTAAACACAGGTGCAGGACAGGAGCTTAGAGAATACTCTTGACCTATTTCGTGCAGATGCACTTAGTCACCGAGTGTTTTTTCAGTTCCTGTCATGCACTTATGTTTCCAATAAAGGATTAAGAATTATGAACTGGAGCGTGACCATTCATTTCATATAATCACTTTTGATCAGCATTTGCTCAGCTCTCCAGTGTGATAGACTATAATTGTGTACATATTAGCAAATACATGTTCTAGTACATTTATCAGGTTTGCCTCCTGTGAACCTTTTCACTCACAGGCATGTGATAATATCAATGCGATATCAGTGTTCCAAGACGTAAAAGAAATAGGTGATCATGGTCTGTTACTCCTAATGATAACTGAAGTTAAATAAGTTAGCAGTACACATTTTTATGTGACAAACACACAAAGCATAAGGAATACTTTTTAAAAATAATTTAAGTGATCTTATACTCTTAAATGTAAAAAGCATATAGTGCTGGTGACTTCAGCACTTACCATGTTTGCTGTGCTCTTTTCTTTCCAAACCTGTGCTTGATTTGGATTTCATCTGTCAAAATGCTTTTTGGGTACCTATGTCCCCTTGCAAAGTTTCATGGAGGCATTTTGTGTGCCTGGGTGCATGTGTGCTCCTGCCTGGGACTAGAGCCGAGTGTCCCTACGCTGCATGCATCCACACAAACAGATATGCCCAAAGACCAGGGCAGCAAGCCACTCCCCTGCTCTCTTTCCTCCAAGCAAGTAGATTGACAGCAGCTGGAGCATGTGCTGTACCTTGTGACCTGTTGCATGTAACCTAAATAATGTGCATGCTTCCCGACAGGAAGTTTGGGGAAGTGGGGATATGCAATTTGAAGCATTGAATATTAAAGAAATGTAAGTGTTTGTGCACACATATGGAGTAAATATTGTACTGGAGAATGTTTCTCTGGTTTATCACAGTGCAAATACATTTTTATAACTTGAAGTGTTTAATACTATTTTAAATACTATTATTTATTAAGTACCTGTTATGAAAGCAATGTGTGCAAAGCAACAGTAGGTATGCTGCAACCTTACCTATTCAGCTTCTGATTCTGTACTATGTAAGCTGTGTTATGCTTGGGCCATAATCGTACAAATATCAACTTTGTAGATGAAAGGTGAGCATTAGCAAGTTCTACTTAGACAGAAGTTCCCCATGCACTGTGGTATTTACCCACTGTACCTTCGTTTTCAAATCTGGTTTGCACAGGAGCATGTACATTTAGAGCTGTGTAAAATATCCTGTCCCTCCCCCTGCTCTGATAGTGGCATGAAGAACATCATCTACACCAAATATTTCATTGTTTTCAATATTTTACTGACAAGCACTGGAGCACTTTTGGGTAAGGGTTTCGGAATCCAGATATAAATTACTCTAAGATGCCTAGTTATTTAACAAAATGGGGAACGATATTGACCGATCAGATTTTATCGTTTATTCTCTGGAACAAAAAGAACAAAGAAGCAGATATGCCACTGACAATGATCTGCTTTCATTTTTAATTTTCCTTTGTCCAGCTGTTAAAGCCTCTTGATGAAAGCGCCGTGATGATAAAAATTGGATAGCGAAGAATTTTTGCACCTTCTGATTTAATAAAGGGCTTGACTCCTATTGATATTGATTTATTTATTTTCCCTGGCCACACCCCTCTGAACTCCTATCTTTTACTATTTGTCAGCATCACTGAGAAATTGTGAGAATAGGACCAAGTAAAACTTCCAGAAAAACCAATATAT